TGGAAATATGAGTCATATACATAATTTAAAAATTTTAAGAGTTGTGGAAGATGTTTTCGTACTGAAGTAGTAAAATACTTTGCTATTAAGATAGAGATTGGCACTTTGCTCCCAACAGCTTCTGTTAAGGAAAATGATATGGCAGCTTGCTTCCAAAATGATAGCAACCTTGGAAACCTGATAGGCCAGATCTTCTTTGTCTTGTAAGGTCACTAGGAATATTAGTTAGAATTGATTTGATGACAGTGGGGGGTTTTTTTGTTTTTGATTTTGTTTTTTTTTTTTTTAAATAACTCAAACTCATGTGATCGAGTCCATTCTGACTCATAGGGACACATCATTGGGCATCTGAGGTGGTAACTTTTAATGGAAGAGGCTTCCTTTCTTTCTCTTTTGGAGTCACTGGGGCAGCCTTTGGGGTAGCAGCAGAATTAACTATGAACTGTACCACCAAAACTTCCCTTTTGAAAAAGAATTGTATTAAAAAATATAAAAAGCATAAAATTTTTATTAATAATCTATTTAATCCAATATATAAAAAATTGCTATATAATAATGTAATCCTTTTAAAAATTAATAATGGATGTTTTACTTTTTTTGTTGTAAGTCTTCAAAATCTGGTTTGTGTTCTGAAATTAAAACAGATCTCAATTATAATATCTGTATATTAGGCAAATTTCCTAATTTGCCTAAACACATTCTTTAGAGAAGTCTGTTGGCACAGTCTATAGCAAGTTAACCCACAAGGTGTATCTCCCTGGTTGTCAGAATCCATCTCCTCAGGAGAAAGATGGGCTGTCTCTTTCTGTGTAGTTTATAGCCTCAGAAAACCCAGTGGAAGGTCAGCTTTCGTCATTTCTGACTCAACAGCAATGAATGAGTGATACATTATTTGGTGAATAGTTTAATGAATGCTTTCAGAGAAAGCATCTTTTCTTGACTCCTTTCTTTTACAAATAAAATACATACTGGAATTTACAATAACCAATTTTGGGATATTTTGGATAGTTAATGATAAGGTCAATATTTTATTTATATTTTTCTTTCGAATTTATGGTAGATAAAATTGCAGTATACAATTCTTTTTTTCTGGTAGCTTTTAGGTTTAAAAGCTAGCCTCAGGAAACTATGGACTTGGAGAAGAGTTGAAAGTTTTGTGTTCAAGACTTGTTCATAGAGTCACTATGGGTCATCTACGACTCTATGGTACTTAAGAACAACTTAACAACAAAGTTTATTTTAAGGAATGTTGTATATTATAAAATAGGCCTTATGTACATTTCACTAGTATAATATTTAGTGAGTTGAACTTCATCATTTTTCCAGGAACCTTCATATATACACATAAATACATCAGTATATAACCACACACCTTTGTACAGCAAGTGGACAGAACAGTACTATACCACTTAGAAGAATGTTTGGCCAAAAACAATTAAAACCATGCCTGCCTGAGGGCTGCAGATTAAAATCAACCACTTTTGGCTTGGTAGCATAATTTTCTATCCACTAGGTCAAAATAACTCTCTCTGTATTATTGTTTGCTCGCCATTGGGTGTGAGTTGATTTTATAAGCCTCCTGTTTAAAAAATGCATTTGGGCCCTTAGGTCTGCAGCCCTTGGGTTTGGTTTTAATTGGTTTTGGTCAAATATTGTTTTAAGTGGTATAGCACTGCTCTGTCCATTTGCTGTATGGAGGTAACTCCTGGCTACTGTGATGCTCAGTACTGTGACACTGATGTGTCAAATGAGATAATGGTTACCCATGGGGGACAGTGTTTGGTGGAGTTCCATAATTAAAACAAACTTGAAAGCAGGAGTGGGAGTGGCATCCACCTCTGAAATAACCTTGTCTCCGAAACTCTGTGAACGTGGAGAAATGGTGAAAGTTAGATGTGTTCAGATCTGTCATACATAGGGTCACTGTTGAGTTGTCTATGACGACAGTTAACAACCGTCAAACCTTTAAGCAGGAGTGGCATCCACTACCTAAACCACATGCCTGTAGAAACTCTATGAACTTGGGGAAATGACAAGAGTTATAGAAAGACTTCTGGTCTTTTTATTCATAGAGTTGCTATGTGTCATCATTGACTCATCAGTAATCAACGACAACAACAACAACCAAACCTTTATTGTTTAATGCCATTCCATTCACCAATGTATCTATTTATTAATTTTTACTTTCCTTTCCTCCCTTCTCATCCTTGTTAGTGCTACAAGATTGATTCTGTGTAGCATCTTTTTATATAGCTTTTTATATTAGTTGTCTTATGCCGTAATTAACCCTTTTATAACTGATGTAAGGCATTCAATATAATTTATTCTAGATTCATCCATGTTGTATAGTATTTCATAACTTCTTAATTCTTTTTTAGTGATGAAAAACATTCCTTTGTCAAAGTTTAGCTGTTTGTCCATTGGCGAAATATTTTTACCACTAAACTCTTTTCTTTTGCAAATAATATTGCAATAAATGTGTGTGTGTGTGTGTGTGTAGGAGGAGGAGGAGGAGTAGAAGCAGGAGTGGCATCCACTTCCTAAACAACATGCCTCCAGAAACTCTATGAACTTTGATAATTGTTGCTAGTTGTAGAGGGACTTCAAACCTTTTGTTCATAACGTCTCTATGAGTTGTGCTTGACTGGAAGGCAATCAGCAACAAAAACAGTGGGTTTAACAAAGGTTAACATAACCTTGCTTGTGGAAACTGAAGAAGACCTGAAGTGCTTGCTACAGAAGTTCAAGGACTATAGTCTTCAATATGAATTGAATCTCAACATCAAGAAGACAAATTCTCACGACTGGGCCATTTGGCAGCACTATGATAGGTAGCGAAGAGAAGAGACTGAGGTTATTAATAATTACAGCTGGCTTGGCTCCACAGTCAACACTGTTAACATCAGCAGTGAGAAATTAAAGAATGAATTGCATTGGGAAAATCTGCTGTCAGGGACCTCTCCAGAGTACTGAAAAGCAATTAGTCTAGAGACTAAAGTGTACCTAATACAGGCCGTGGTGTTCTCAATTCCTTGCTATGTGTCAGAGAGTTGGATAATGACTAAGGATGACAGAAGAGGAATTGATGTCTTCAAATTGTGGTGCTGGAGAAGAGTCTTGAACGTACTAGGGACTGTAAAGAAAAGAAATAGATCTATTTGGGAGAGGGTGAATTCAAGTTTCTCCTTGGAGGCTAGGATTATGAAGCTCTGTCTCACAAGCTTTGGGCACATGGCCAGGAGGGAGTGATCCTTGGAGAAGGACATCATGCTCAGAAGGATGGAGGGACAGCACAAGAGAAGATGACCCTGGATGAGATGGATTGATACTGTAACTGAGGCAGTGGGAGTTTTTGTGTCGGAATGAGTGAGACTGGCTCAGAACAGGGCAGGCTCAGAGCTGCTGTACATAGGGTCACTAGACATAACAACACTATAATAATAACACTAGACATAACAACAACAACAGTGAGGTTAATAGATCAAATGGTATTTCTTTTCCCAAATTTCTAAGAAAATGCCAAACTGCTTTCCATATTGACTCTACCATTTTGCATTCCCACCTGCACCGTATGAGAATTCCAATCTCTCCACATCCTCATCAGCATTTCTTCTTTGCTGAATTATTGAACTTTACTCTTTTCATTGAGGTTAGATGATATCTCATTGTTTTCTGACCAAGATAAAGGTAGGTGACTTTTAGTTCACGGCCCTCAGGCCAGTCTTTCATTGTTTTTGTTCAGACATTCCTCTAGGTCGTATAGCCCTGGTGTACAAGTTGTCGTCCTGTGGTCACTTGTGGGTACTGTGAGGCTGAACACTGTGACACGGATGTGTCAAATGCGTTAATGGTTGGCTATCCAGTGCGGACTGAGAGTGGGGTGGAGCTCCTCAATTAAATAAGCGTGGAAGGAGGAGCTGCATCCACTTCCATAATAGCTTGCCTCTGGAAACCCTATGAACCTGGAGAGAGGATGAAAGGCACCCATGCGTTGAGGACTGTCCTTCATAGGGTCACTATGAGTCGCCTGCGACTCGACGGCCCTTCACAACAACAGTAATAGCTAATGATCTTGAGTATTCTTCATGTGTTTGCTGGTAATTTGAATATTTTCTTAGGTGAAATGTGTGTTCATATCTTTTGCCCATTTTGTGATTATTATTGTTGTCTTCTTGGTGAGGTGTTGGAATTTTGTATAAATTTTAGAGATTACCAGATATTTTCCCCAGTGTATAGGCGCCCTTTGTCTTTTGGAGAAGTCTTTTGATGCACATGGAATTTGATATTTAGGAAGTGCCAGTTATTGTATGTTTTCTTATATTTGATAGTATATTTATGCCATTGATTAAATTCCAAGTTTGCCTCAGCTTTTTCTTTGATGATCTTTATAGTTGTAGATTTTACACATAGGTCCTTGATTAATATTTAGTTAGTTTTTAAATATCATATAAGTTACATAGCTCTTGTTTGACTTTTTCTATAGGTCGATATCTAGTTTTGCCAGCACTATTTGTTAAAGAGGTTGTCTTCCCCCTAATTAGTGTATTTCATTTCCTTATGAAAAAGATTAACTGTCTATAGGTGGATAGATTTATTTTTAGGATCTCAATTCTATTCCACTGATCTATGTAACTGTATTAAGCAGTAGTACCAAATTACTTTGATTATTATGACTGTAAAATGGACTTTGAGGTCAGAAAGTATAAGGTTTCCTACTTCGTTTTTCTTTTTCGTTAGCACTGACTTATCTATGGTCTTTTTCCCTTCCATATGAAATTGATGTTTATTTCATGGAATGCTTTCTCTCTCTCTCTCTCTGTGTGTGTGTTATGTTGAGAAGACATACATATGTACAGTATTAAGTGTGGATGGATGAGGTTTACATGCCTCCTTCTAGCCCAATGCCTTTAAAATCTGTTTCGTATGGCAGAGGACTCAATTTATCATTTTTTAAAGTAATTTACTCTGAAGTCTTCTATAAAGTATTAATATGCTAAAGACAAGAAACCCAAAGTAGACGTATTTTTATTGGAATTTATTTTCACTCTCTAGGTATCTTAGAGCTTTTATGTTTATTCTTCATCCGTTTCTGATTTATTATTATTATTTTTATTGTTTCAGTAAGGATGATTTCTACAGAACTTATAAAATCTATACTATTTTATGTTTCTCTTGGGTATATTTTAACTGAGGAACCTAGTTGATATAAAGGTATTTTAAAACTTAGCAGTTTTATACTTGTATATTTATGTGAGTGTTTAGTTATTTTAATATATTTAATTTTAAATAGATGCTTATTTAATGAATGATTAGAAGTGTTGTCAATAAATAGAATTTTTGGTGCATTTATAAACAAAAGTGTTTTTACACTGTGCCATATATTGAAAATAGTGAATAGTCATTACAGAAATACATGTAGCAATTGATTTTTATTACTTCAGTTCTTTTCTTCCTATGTTCTTCCTCTTAAAATGATAATGAATGAAAGGAAAATATATGATATTAAAGAAGTGACGTATTCCTACATTTAGGTTCTCATTTGTGAATTTAATGATAAAGCCATGAGGTTATTTTTGCTTGCATTTTATTTTCCACACACAAAAAAGGACAGTAGTTAGTTAAAATATTTTAGCTACTCTGGTCAGCCATATCTTTCCAACCCAATTGTACTGCCTTAGAGTTAATTCCAAATCAAAGAAACTCCATAGGATGGAGTAGAACTGCTCCATAAGTTTATAAAATTATTTTCTTCTGCTTCTTTTTCCACAGAAGGGCTGTTGGTTCAAACTGCTTTAATAATATACCACATACCACATAGTCCCTACCTTCAAACAGTCTAGTGTATATTATAATATAGGAGCCTTTGTACTATATTTGAAGTACTCTTTTCTGCTAGATTTTACAAGTTGTATCAGATAACACATCTTCTACTTTAAAGATCACTAAGAAGGAAAATGAAAATAAAACAAAACAAAAAAGCAAACCAAACATACCATCTCTAAATACTTGATCAGGGAGTGTTGTGGCCCGTAAAGTTGTACTTTTAAAACAAAGTCTTTTAAGAGCCTTTGGCAGTTTGAATGCATGAGCAACTCTGAGGAAGAACTGTCAGTCTCCTCTCTTTATGATTTATAGCCTTGGAAACGTTGGCGTGTAGCAAATTTAAAAAGACATAAACTTCCTTCCGCTGGATAGTAATGAACTTTATTAATAAAGGGTTTCTTTTTTCTTCTTGAAAGATCTTGCTAGTGCAGTAACAGATTTATATAGCTAGATAGGTATTCTCTTTTTCTTTTATTGACGCTTCATTTTTTAAACATGATGTCTTTCCAGGCATCTAAGGATCACTCTGATAACATTTCTTCCAAGGCAGATTTGTATAGTACCTTTATGTTATAATCTGTGCATGAAATAAATGTTACTTAAGACTACATTGATAAATACTCATATTGTTTCTTAAGTTTATTGCTCTGATTACTTCTAAGATCTGCGATCCCCTTAACAAAACCTTAAACTACTGTAAAAATTTATTTTTTCCAGAAAAGGTATATTTGATGAATACAGCCAGATTACCAGTCTTGTTACAGAGGAAATAGTGAATGTCCATAAAGAAATTCAGTTGTCGGTTGAACAGATAGATCCTAGTACAGAATATGATAATTTCATAGATGTTCACAGGTATGATTTTTTTATATTTTGTTCAGTATTTTCTATAAGTTTGAATAAAACCAGAAGAAATATTTAAGACTATGCCATGCTATAGAATATTTTAGATTGTTCTTAATGAGTTTAAAATTCTCATAATGATAATTATTTAATTTACATAATAATATTTTAAAATGTTTATTATGCCATTGTTTAAATTTATAACATTGCTTTATTTTTAATATTCATGAAGTAAAATAGCATCACTTTATATACATGTATACGTGTGTATACGTGCCCACATGCATGCACACAAACACACATATATGTTTAACTTTATGATTAATACTTTTCCATAAAAGAATTGTTTTATACTCATTACAGCTGTGGCATGAAAATGTGGTTTATACCTGGTTTCTAGAAAGCAGACAACTAAATTTCAAGTTGCTTCACTAGCTTTTTTATGTCTAGAGTTTCGTGTACTAAGCTATTTTATAGTAGTGTATTAATATTGACCAAAATTTTGTTTTCCTAGGACAACAGCTGCTAACGAACAAGACATTGAATTTGATATTTCCTTACTAGAAGAAAATGAAAATCTTCAGGCAAATGAAATCATGTGGAATAATTTAACAGCAGAAAGTTTGCAAGCAATGTAAGTATTTACATATCTGAACTATTTAAAATATTAATGTTATCATTGTTTGGTACTTTTTCATTGCTTCTAACTGATGGTGACCTTGTGTACAACAGAAAAAAATGATACTCATCGCTATACCTATAGTGCTTAAGACCATTTTTGTAGCAAATATGTTAGTCCGTGTCATTGACAGTCTCTCTCTTTTTCATTGACATTCTGCTTTATCAAACATGATATTTAGCTACAAGTTTTGGTCCCTCTTGGTGAGGTGCCCAAAGTATGTGAGGTGAACTTTTATCTGAGGGACATTTTGGCTAAACATCCTCCAGGACAGATTTGTTTGTTCTTTTTATCATTACCGGATATCAGAGGCCTCAGTTTCTCTTTGGTCCTCTTTATTCATTGTCTGACTTTCACATGCATATGAGGCAATTATAATGCCATGGTTTGGGTCAGGTGCACTATTGTTTTTAAAAATGACCTCATTGCTCTCTAACAGTTTACTCATTGCAATTCAGTGACCATTATTTGCACTCTTAGCTGCTGCTTGCATGGACATTGACTATGGATGTAAGTATGATGAAATGTATTTTATCAAATTAAAAATTCCATTTATTTTTCAAATGAGAAAAGTACACTAAAATGCATTTGATTTTCATTTTGTAAAAATAAAATCTTCTGACTAGTACTTTTCTCATTGCCATCTCTAATGTTGATAATGCTCAGAATCAAGTTCTGTGTAAAACTGCTTATGTTAATTTGCTCAATAACTAGTCATAGCTTACACTGAACTAATTATGCTTTATTTTCTTCAGAACTTGGTTTTATTCATTATCCCATTTGATCCTGAAAAATGACGATGACATCCATTTTGGAAATTAAGATATTAAGTGTGAGAGATTAGGGACTCATTGATATAGAACCATTTGGTATGAAAAATTGAGTGTTCATTAAGTTCTTTTCTGTTTAGACCAAGATATTTTCTATTATAAGTTATTAAATAAACTACCTCTTTATTACTAAAATAGAAAATTTTTAAAGTATTGTCAGAACTGACTCATAGCTGACTCTTCAGCATGTTTTCAGAGGCTGGAAATGAAATTGCATTAGAGAAAATTTTCCATATTTTTTCTGTGGAACAGCTGGTGGATTAGAACTTCCTGCTTTTGTTTGGGTTGACAGCACAACTTCTTATTGCTGGGTCACTGGAGCTCCCTAAACTTTAAAGTAGTTTTATAAATTTTAATGCTTTTTTTAGTACCTATTAAACATTAACAACAATTAATAGTACATTTTTGAGCTTAGAAAGTGTTATCAGGCCTTTCTACTTATAATTATTAACTTGCCTCATAATTTTATTTGGAAGCAACATCGGAATTCTTACAAGTACTAGTAAACATGTCTGCTTCTCTCTATAAGAAAACAACAGTGAGAAAGAGTTATTCACTTGTTTTCTCTTCAACTTTGAAGATAACATCTTGGCATTAGAATTGAATATTAAATATATCAAATGACTCAGCCGAAAGGTACATATTGTTTGTTCACATCTAGTGTAATTAGACAGCTTCCTTTCTATTGTTCAGTAACATTGTAGTGTTCAAACAGATAATGAACTCAGTGGTAATACCCAGGCATTAACTTTTGAGGTAAAGTGTGGTATCTTATAGTGTGTGTAAACATGTGTAGGTGTCATGTGGATGGTTGTCTTTCACCTATATTAACTTTACAAAGGGGAAACGTTCTCATCTGCAACATCCACAATACCAAACCAATTCCCATAAGATGACTCAGACTTCATACTCTCACATCCACTTTTACTTAGACTTTCAACTGAATGGCCCTCATAGTGGGTCTGAAATCTATTGCAGTTGCCACATAGATTTCACAGAGCCATACTCAAGATCATGGGGTTTACAAAGGAAGTTAACAGGTTGCAATTCAGGTTGGCAGCAGGATACACTTTCTCCATCAGGACAACTTCTCAAGTGTGTGTGCAGACTCTTTCACCTTCAGACTCATGTCTTAGGTCAGTTTTATAAAGCCGTTAGTCCTACCAATTATGATGTCTCCCCTCGGTCCTCTAGCAGGCTTGGCTGAAAGCACCTGCCTGTAGATCTGTAGGTCAGCAGCTGCAAGTCACCTGCCTCCTGCTGGTCTCTGGTTCTCTGTTGAGGCTGCTGTTAGTCTTGTGTATGTGCTAGTCTGACAGATGTAGGAATTTCTGACCCTGAAGGATGTGTGCTGCATTCTTTGCCGCTTCTTGGTGTGATTCTCCTCTTCTGCTCTTAAACCTGCTCAATTTAAACTTGGTGGGATAGGAAAACAGAACAATCCATAATGATTAGTTTAAATACCCCCTGTTTCATGTTTCCACCCAATTTTATGGTTTAAGTCAAAGCCGATATTTAGGAAAGGCATTTAGAACAGTAAACTCATGACATTACATTGGCCAAATGGCACTGAGGATATGAATACCAGAAGTGGACTAATGGTAAAGAGTTATGATGGCTACCTAAAGGTACTTGATTGAAATCTACCATGGAAGAAAGATGGTCAGTCTCTTCCCGTGTTTTCTGCCTCTGAAAACACATTGGAGAATCAGCTATGGGTCAGTTCTAACTTGATGGTACACAACAACAGTAACAAATCATTTGTACAAGATGAAGGTTTAGTAATTATTTTGTACTGTTTGCTTATAATAATAATGTAGTTATGGGCATACCTTAACAGTAGTGAGTTTACATTAGTGACCATTTTGTGATTTGTGAAGCTATTCCCAAAGTCTCAAAGCCCTCTACATGATTTTCACTTTTTCTACTGCCTTTAGATATGTTATTACAAGGCAAACTATTTCTAAGCCAGTGAGTCTCAACTAGGGTAATATTTATACCCTTCAGAGCATATTTGATAATTTATGAAGAGACTTTTAGTCCTCAGTTATCTAGTTTGTAGAGGCAGGGATACTGCTAAACATCCTACACAGCACAAAAATGCCTACCATAACTATGAGCTATCTAGCCCAAAGTGTCAGTAGTGCCACGGTTGAGATTCTACTCCAGACAGTAGGGTTACATCGTAAACAATGGATGACAGAATTTCTCTGTTTTTTAGTTCTGGTAGTAGTTGGTGAATAATACAACTTACTCCTATGTTTTTTTATGACTATGGTACCACTCAAATGATAGAGCTCCTCAGTAGTGATAATGCTCTTCAAAGATAAAGCTTCATCTCCCATACTTTAGGCTTGTTACTAGTGGAAGTGATTCCTTGAAGAGGACATTATGTTTGGGAAGGTTGAGGTGTTACGAAAGAGAGGAAGACCCTCAACCAAGTGGATTGACATGATGGATGCAGCAATGGATACTCAAATGTGTCAGAAATAGGATGACACAGAATAGGACAGAGTTGTTCATAGGCTGGGTGTGAGTCATACTCACCTCGATGGCACCTAACAACAGCAACAACAAATGTACAATCCAGAATCACAGTGACCCACAAGTTACACCAGTACAGCAGACTGACAGACAAGTGCTATCCTAATAAGAGCAAATTATAAGCAAGCATTTACACACCTAAACTATAAGTCCCCTATATAATGAACTGACAGATAGGTGTTATACCTTTAACAACAAACCCTAAAAAGAATCAGACATACAAATCTCATGGCTCAGGATATAGTTTTCTGGCCACATTGGGGGTATTTGGTTCAGATAGTGGCTCATCTGGCTCTTTGATTCTAATGCTTGGCACGAGACCCAAGGTCCAACTTGGCTTTCTTCCTAGTTTCCTGCAGAGATCTGCTTCAAGGCACAGAAGCCCCAGGATGGTGACTCACTTGTCTCTCTAGCTGCCCTTGAAAATCCATTATAAGGCACCAAGGGAAAGTAACCCCACAGTGGTAACTTGGCTTGAAAACAAAATCTATATGCATTTTTTATACCTAACTCTATATGAAAAGCCAGTTGTCTGAAAGGAGCTTGGTTTAAAATCAGGAAGAATGTGCATGAAGGTTAAAAGTTGGGGACCAGGAAGAAGAATTAGCAGTTAGAAAACATAGACTGGGTGACAGAAATGAGGCTGGGGATAGAATGATAGAGTTCTACATAATAAATGATTTATTCATAGCAAACATCTTTTTTTAAAAAACATAAACACAGACTATACACATGAGTTTCACCCGATGTATGCACAAGAATCAGATTGATTACATCTGTGGAAGGAATTGTTGAAGTTCAGTATCAGCAGTGAAAACTAGGCCAGGT